GTCATATGCAAGGAATCTAGAGATAACAGACAACTTCGTTTTATTTCCACAGACCGCGAACGTTTTCTACAACAAAGACTTGACAACATGCGGAGAGACTCAGTAACTAAATCATCATTACATCTAAGCAACGGRCACGTGACAAAAACACGTCAGTCATTCAGTCTTAGCTCAGAAAAACGTCATGATTCCTTATCGAGTATGCGAAGGAAAGAGTTCGAAGAGCGATGGGCACTTTTAAACGAAAGTCGSTGTCATAGCAACCCGATAGCTGATAGGAGCGAAGATCGATTTTCAAGGCTAATCGATTCTCAGTCGCTTTTGATGGACAGTGTAAATAATCTAGTAAAACAAACGAACGCTAAAGAACTGTTGAGTGAACGMAAGAGGGAGTGGACGTTAGCAGCGAACATCGTGGATCAAACCTGTTTTATTCTGTTTCTTGTGATGTTATTCTCTTCSACGGTTATAATATTTACTCAGGCATACTAGCAAAAGCTTTTTACAAATATTTGATATYTTAAGCCTGGCTTGGCAGTTTTGTAAGCGGATCCCAAGTTCAATGAGGTGGCTAAACATGCTTCTCAGAAGAGGAAGCAGAAGCTTCTAGTGTTAAATCTAAACTAGCCGCCGTCATGTTGTTCTTTGTCATGACGCAGAGAMCCTGATCAGTATGGCACCAGGCGATGTAAAGCGATACCATTTCCTAGAGCAAAGCATGACGGGAAACTCTGGTTTACGGCATTCTGGCGTACACTTCGGTTTCATCAATCAAAGGCTGGAGACARGCAATCATAGTCACAAGGAATCACAAGGAAAAGAGACCTTCCGCTTAAGATTCCGTTGCTTCTACAGGCGGCGCTTTCGAATACGTTTTATGGCTTAGGCTCGAAACCAGTCTCTTGAGACGCGCAATGCACCAAGGGAAGGTCTTAGCAAAAAAACGGCTTGCCTAGTGGAGCGAGTCAGACTCCTCTTCCTTTTGAAGTGTCACGTGTAACGCAAGTTGTAAGCTGTAACGGAAGCTCTAATTTAACCACTGTAAATAAGACGTGTTTATAATCGCAAACTAGGTAGATAGATATTTAATAGTTGACTATTTAGAAAGATATAAAATAACTTAAACGAAGAACATACAAGATTCCATTAATCTGATATCTATTTCATGGGTTTTTGTGACGGAACTGTTATCTGTGAAATATAACTATGTTAACATAATCAATTAGAGCGATTTTCATCTGTGAAATTCACTGTCATGTACTACACTTCATTACTATTTTTACTCTATTTTGTATGTTTTTCTGTGTCTTTTCAGTGTAACAAACAAGTTAATGGAACCAGTCWAAATACTACAAAATATATAACAGCAGAGATAGACAGCTTTTACACTGAATAAACTTATAAGTGCTATTTAAGAGGTATCTTCAAGTACTGTAGATATTTGTTCATTTTAAATACATAAAGTGTAAACTAATTTCTACTAAAAGATTCTCATATCATACCTTGTATTTATCTTGATTTCCCGTAGTTCCATATTTCCAAATGTAGCAGTGTTTTCCTCAAGACGTTTGGGCTTCTTTTGTCCATAATTGTCTTTTACAGATATTTACCTCCTTCCTCAATGATTTTCCCACTGTTTTTAGTCCTTTGTTGTTAATGTTGTTGTTGAAATTAAGAGTGATTTTTCTTGCTCTTTTTCTTCAATTTACAATGTCGTCTCCACTAGTTTTTCTAGTGTTTCTATGTTACCAACTGCTTTAGACATTTTGGCCAATAATTTCTGTACAAAGCCATTTCAATTTATTCGATATCTCTATCAATCTATAATATTTACTCAAAGTTGAAATTGTCTTACTAGGATACTTTATCAAGGTAGATGTTCAAATAATAATATTCCTGCAGCTCAAAATATAGTTGGTTTTCATGACTGAACCAGGACAAAGTCTTATGATGTCAAAGATATGATTTCCAGATAATCATTGCAGCATCACCAAATACCAGTCACATCCATAATTTCTTCCTGGAATTGCCAGGAAAAGGTCTTTACACACATAGATAATGTTTTTCCACATCAATATTGTTTTGAATTCTTTGATCTAATACTACTAATTCTACTCATATTTTTACTTTTTGTAATATTCCTTGAAATACTTTTTGTCTATAAGAATGTTTTTCCAGCGTGTTAATGATATACGTAGATTTCCTTTCTTTGTCAATGTATCTCCAATRTCAGTGATTTCAAGTTTTGAAATGCAGACCTTTCCACTGGTATCCTCYATGTCGCCTGATTTCTTGTCAATCAATTCAAGAACATCATTGCATTTCACCTTTGAAAAAAGAAATTTACAAAGCATGTATGTAAAGTGTAAATCAAAAATGAATGGTTGGATGAGAAAAGGAATGAATAAAAAAATTAATTAGGGAAAGTGCGGATAAATGATTGAATGGGAAGATAGAAAAACGTACTGAAAAAAAAAAACGAATTGATTGAAAGATGATCGAATTGATCAACACAACTTTTAAGCTTAATTAAGCTTAAGTTACAATACTATAACTTACCTTAGTAGAACTTTTCAAGACACATTTTTTATTCACATATAACTTTCCAGAGAGCAACAGAAGATCCATCTTTCTACAGAAACAAAAGTAAAACCTTAATGAAGCCAAATAATTAGAATTACTGGAAACTGGAAATGGTACCTTCGTCCAGTCGCAAATCCCGATGCTGCGATCCTGTCAACGCGCATCGATGATACCACAAGATTCAACTGTTTTCCTTGTCSAACTGACGAAGAATCATCATTTATGAATCGTACTGTATTACTTTGTAATAGTCTAGGATACTTTCTAATCCAAACGCTTGTCGGTTTGTGTAGAAAACAGCATAATAGTTTTGAAAAGCCACTTTTAACTTTTGAGATAGCCGCCATCTTTGTRACTRTGCGGATGGCAYCTGWRCATAAAAATCGCTGACGTTTCCACAGYKAGCCCAAACGCAAAGAACTATTAMAWCACCTGGTCCAAGAGAATGCAAACAGAATTTTGAGGAAAAGGCAAAMAATATTATTTTAAATTRGTCAAGAACAGTSTGACAARCTAAACTTTGATCARCTCATTTRATTTATCCAATGTTTAATTTCCCAGCGTGACAGTCACGCTTGAAACACAGGGAACCCACAGCGTCAACATAACTTCCGGGTCATGATACGTCAAAACATTTCCTTTTCTCTTTCGCAATTCYAYCRYTCATGTCTGATTATAACAGAGGTGTGTTGTCCCTAAAGGARCTTTGCCTTTTTACAGTTAATAACAACCTCAATCCTTCCAATGTTTATCCTTTTTACTTGGAAACWCTTCGCACTRATTGTCCACGAATGGAACGAGTAGTGAATTCYTTTATTTGRGACAATTTRATGGATATTTCTCGCACKGAACAGTTCTTGGCTCTGGACAGTAGCGCAATAAACTGGATGCTTATAAACCACGATATCAGAGCATCAGAAGCAGCCATGTTAGACAGCTTAGCCCGATGGTATAAACACAATGAAGCAGAACGCGAGAAGGGCTTCAAATGGCTGTTTCAAAGACTGAGCTTGGATATGATTGGAAAGGATGTGTTATCGGAAATAATAAAGAAATATCAACTTGTAAAKGTTATCCCTGAACTTCGTAAGTACAAGAAGCTGCTTCCTCAGCGAGTGGACCTCGACGAGTTGATCTACAAGGAYAACATCTCTAACATAGCTGTTCTTGGATATATTAAACACTTAACGACAGAAGAACCACTAAAACTGTATAACTTTACTTTGCAGTACTGGGCACCTTTCACTTCCAAGTCAATGATCCCTAAATGTGCCATCGAAGGTGAGATATTCGAGGATTATTTGATTGASGGCATAATACCTATACACAATTCTGTGTATTTCGTTTACTCAAGAATCGATCTTACACGAAAAACTACCTCACTACAGCTCATGCGCGTCGACATCCAATCGCAGTCTACTACCGAGTGTGCCACAAGTGACGGTTTACATTACGAAGCCATAGCTGTGCCATGTGGGATTTTCATCTATTTTCTCGGGGGTAGAGACGGGGAAGCCCCACCTAAGACGGTCTATCGCTACGATACCGTTAAAAACAACTGGAGTGAAATGCAGTCGATGATTAGCGACCATTCATCTGTCTATGACTGTGTAGTTTCTTACAAGAACAAGTATTTGTACATATTTGGAAAGACTTTTAGCGAGAAGTACGACATGATGACAAATACATGGACACCACTAGTACCCCCTTGGGATGGCGGCATTGCYCTCCCTGAGGGGGCAGGGCAGGGGGAAGTAATTTGGTGCATGTCTGCAGAATGCTTGGACGACAGGATCTGCGTRCMTCTGTTGYTAAAYTCATCRTCAGGTTTACTAAGTCGTCTTCTGGTGTTTTATGACCCCGTTAACAGTGCCTGGGAGTTCCACAAGATTGAAGGGCGGRTRCATTCAGCTTTGAAAAAATGCTTTGGAAACAATTTTGTGTTGTATTACAAGAAGCCAAGGAGGTAAGAATTAMTACACGCGTCGATTACTCTWCAGGTCAAAGTAATTTGTTTMTAATTGTTTCTTTTSTTCAAAGGTTTACYTGGAAAAAGCCRGGAAATCTCAGRATTTMTGCYGTAGAAGATTCCTTCCGCAACGAGAAGAAGTTYTTTTCTACAAAAATAGGAAAAAATTGTAAGCGAGAATATAAAAATATCGTAATTTTGAGTAGAAGAGCGCGCACGGTCATTGAGAAGGCCGATAAACCAGTCAGCTAATTCATTTACAGAAGATGATTGACATCTCCATGGTTACCACGAATGACGGCTTGAAAAAGATTGGTACATTCATGTACGTTGAGCTATACTGACTTCTATATATATTGATTTATGCTCAGCCATTCCACAATATTTTCTTTTGAACTTCAACAAAGGATTTCTTTCTTTATGAAKTTGCTCCATCTAGTAAATCATCAGTTGTATCTCGACATTTGTCATTTTTTTTCACGGTTTCACAAGGTCATTTGTGACTAAATTCGATATAATATTTTGGAGATAATAATAAAATTGAAGGAAATTTGATATTTATATTTTATTCATAGTAAAATCACACAATACTGACATCCAATGCCATATCTRGTTATTGTCACGTGACAAATGTACAATGTTTTACTTTGGGCGTTTTGTGTATAAGTAAAACCATTTCTTTCGTCAATTAAAGCTACTTTTTYTTCAGTATTTATCTCTTAAATACAGTTGAATTCATTTGGAAATAGGGCAGAGAGGAAATATAGAACAGSTCTAATTTTCGCTACAGGCGCTTAGCTGATAGCTGTGCTACAATGAAACGTTGACCTCTTTGCAAAAACAACCTCTACTACTGCGCATGGGCATTGTAAATTCTTGCCTCTGTTCATCTTTCGGTAGGTTTCTGATCAATCCCCACACTGCCTCCATTTCTAAATCATTGTGTTAATTTGATATCTGTTGTTTTGACTTTTGAAGCGAAATAACTTTAAATATTTAGTGGATATATTTACAACGATATGTAAATTCCTCTTTACTGAGATGTTGCAGACGATGACTGTTTTGTAAGGTAAGTGTTTCTGACGTGCGTAGATGACTTTGTGTCCTGCTTTTGCTTCTGGTAACACGTTTTGCAGGGTTGTTTCACATACAGAAACGCAAGACATTTAATGTATGACTCTGTACATCTATAACTTGCCAGGGATTACAACGTTTCTACACAAAAACAAAGAAAAAAAAATAGAATTTATTAAAACGACAAAAGTACACAAGGTTTTTGTCTTTTTAATAATKAATATTTRGAGCTTTTTTAACTTCAGGTCTAGCATGATGTAAACATGATGACTCGTCTTATAACACACGCCGTTATACTGTGCGCTGTTGCTGCAGCCATCACTGCCAGAAACCAGATAGGTATATATCGATAGTGATTTTTAGTACTGATCATAATTATACAAAAATAATTGTTTTAATTGATTTTTGCTTCTACTAAGCTTAGTGGAAATTAAAACTCGCAATTAAATATTCAGTAACTATAACAATGATGAGTGATAATCATTAATTATTACCTGGATATTGATAATTAATAATTATTAATATAGTATTWGTGTATGGCGCTGGCCTAAACAAAAAAATCATTCTAGTCAGTCGATTGTTAGGAAAACTAGGGGGGGAGGAGAGAGAGGTCGACCTAGAAAAAGGCGCTTTTCGCTTAGGGGTGGCCGCCTCCAGAAAAAAAGGTGACTTTGTTATTGTGTCATCCACATCCCCCACCTCATAATGAATGAATGGTCCCAATACTCTTCATTCGAGTTGAAATAATCTTATATTTTATTACGATGTATAAGCGCTACTTCAACCTAAAAGTTATCTATTTTCGTCGAGCTTTCGGCTCACCGAGCCATTATCAAGACTGAATGAAAAAAAATTAATTTAATCATTTTTTAATTAAAAATTAATTTAATCTTATATTTGGTTCTCATTTCGTTTAGATATAGATAATGACGAAGCGAAACTCCTAAACAACGTTTTTGGTGACAGCTATGATAAGAACCTACGACCAGTTATGAACAAGAAAGAAAATATAACCGTTACCTTTGGACTTACACTCAATCAAATTATGGATATGGTAATTATAGAACAATGGGCTCCCTGTGTCTTTACTGCAATATATTGATTCAGCGGTGTTCGTATTTTAACAGATTGAGAAATATGAAATATTGCAGTTAAGCTTGTATGTGAGACAGGTGAGGAAGATTATTACAAATTCGGGGATTAACGACGCTCACTTTAAATGTCAAGTGACGCCATTTTATTTATTTATTTATTTTTGCAGCAAAGCATGATGGTAGTCGTAGTCCTCTAACTTATTATAGACCCTAAAATATCTCCTTAAAAGGCTTTGTTACACTTCCTTTGTAGAAACGGCAAACTTCTATTTTGGCTTAGAAAAAGCAAAAATATTCCAGGACTGTTTTAGCGGTCGACATGAAAAAGTACGAGGACAACGAACTACCATCATGCTTTGCAGCGGCAAAATGGCGTCGCTGTACTATGTTCAACATTGAATGATTTGCTTCAGACCTGGTACAATGCGTTAACAACATGGAATGCTTCAGAATACGGGGGAATCCAACAAGTGAATATCGATCCATRGGAGCTKTGGAAACCCGACATTTACCTTTATAACAAGTAAGATCTTTACGATCTCATTACGATTAATATTTATGCTGCAAATTTTGGACACCCATCCTCGTTCCAGTTCCTTTTCCTTGTGAGTGGGTCGAGGGATACTGGACCTGGGAAGGAGTTTGATTGACACRTCGATGTCACAGGCCTTCCTTCGCGATGAGGAGAAGTTRATTGATTGATGAATAAAGATTAACTGATTTGATTGTCTAAGTCTGATTGATTGTCTGAGTCTGACTGACTGACTGACTGAGTGATTGAGTTATTGATTGATTGATGGATTGATTGATTGATTGATTGATTGACAGTGCTGACAGTGGTTTTGACAGTTCGTTATATGGCTTTAAAGCTAAAATCAAGGTGTCCTCAAACGGAAAAAATGCTTGGTTAGCTCCTATCATCCTAACAAGCTCCTGTAAAATCGACGTCACGTACTTTCCTTTCGATCAACAAGTAAGTCTAACGTACGCTTTTCCATAATATAAGTGATAATATATTAAATGATTTATTTGTTACTATTATTTCAAGAATTGTAAACTTAAGTTTGGATCATGGAGCTACGATGCTGCTTCTGTTGACATAGTTGCCGAGGGACCGTCTGCTTCACTTAAGGAATACCAACAGAACGGTGAATGGGACTTGCTCGGATTTCCGTGCATCAGGAAGAGTTATAAGTACGTCTGCTGTCCGAATAATTTCTCTGATGTCACGTGCACACTCCAAATAAGGAGACGTACTTTGTACTACTGGTTTAACCTGATAATCCCATGCATGCTGATCACAGGTAAGATTATACACACTGGAAAAAAACGCGCACTTATAAAGGTTGTAAATTTGGTGTTAATATGATGTTAGTGTCCAAAATTCTGTAAATTTGATGTAAATCATTTACATGGAATTCACATCAAATTTACATGATTCTGGACACTTACATCACTATTTACATCAAATTTACAACTTTTTAAGTGCGCGATGTTTTCCAGTGACATGGTTTACCTTCGAAAGAAATAAAAAAATTAAATTAGATTATAGAGTTAGTAGTGAATAACTCCAAATGAAGTGACTTCAACTGTATCCATTGACAATGCATTTCAATCCGTCGTTTTTTTTAAAGATCTAATATAAGAACATTTTCATTTATAAAGCATAAATACATTTTTCTTTCATTTTCAGACATAAAAAAWGTCCCGAAAGGGATGCCGGTATACCATGGCCCTTTAATTGAAGTTTTGTTTTCCTRTTCAGTTATGTCTCTTCTATCGTTCATGGTGTCGACTGAGTCAGGCGAGCGGATTACTCTGGTCATCACTAACCTACTAGCCTTGACTGTTTTCATGTTGATTGTCGCTGATTTGCTYCCGCCAACGTCAGAGGTGGTTCCTCTCATAAGCGTTTACATCACTTGCTCAATTTTTGAGGTATATAGAAGTGAATACGACTCAGTTTGTTCTGGGCGCGTTGAAATCGAAATTCTAGAGTGAAAGTAACTAGAATATTAGGAATTTTTTGAATACAGAAAGCATTAATGAAAGTAATAAATAATTTACGACTTTCAATACTCTGGTCCAGTGACTACGAACAAAGCATTGAAGCGAGGCGTCAAGGTAAACTGCGCCCAGATCTTTTCTTTTATGCTCAATGTACCTTTACGCCTCGGTTCAATGCTTTGTTCGTGGTCACTGAACCTGAGTATGGAAAGTCGCGAATCAAACAAAATCGTTCCAGAAAGGTGAACAACAACAACCACATCAGCAAAAAAACACTGCTTACTTTCATTTTGCAATTGTTTCATAGGTTGGAATGGCACTTGTGGCAACCTGCGTTGTGTTAATGTGTTACAATACTAACCCTGACATACAAGAAATGCCATTYTGGATGAGATATTTCATATGTCAGCGACTTGGTAAGCTACTGAGAGTMCAAAGAATCAAAGACAAAAAGGCCGAACAGGAGGCAATGGAAGATAGCACAGATACTGGGTTACCACGCATACAACCTCGYAATATGCTTTTTGGTTTTGGAAGTCTTCCTGTACCAAGGTTAGTTGGTTGCCATGAAGTAGTTTGGTTTGTAGGATCGCTTAGTTGATTTGGTTGCATGGCTAATTGCTGTATGAATTAGTTTTTTAATTGATTTGTTGGTTTTTGTCGTTTGATTCGATGTTTGGCTGTTTTCTCTTCTTCTACCCGAGGTAGAAACCTCTCCTTCTTCAGGAAGAGGTCTTCACCATTCAATAACATTCTCCGTCTTTTCCATCTAAATTTCGCTGCTCTTTCCAAAAACATACCAATAACATGCTCRTTAACATTTAGATCCGAAACCTACGAGAAGCTTTTCAACACAGCTGCAGGGGAAAAAACATGCCAGATCTGTAAAGACAGCAAAGAAGCAGCCTATGCRTCATCACGTCCAGCAAGTCAGTTTTTCCAGGAAGCTGCTATGTACAAACTACCAGAGGGCAAACCCTATGAATCCCAAGCAAGAAATATCAACGCTTCAATATCAACGTTTGCAGCGCCCTCGCTCTATCAAGAACCGGTCCCAGACTGCCGCAATGATTGTCCATGTGGGACTATGGCACCTGTACTTCCTGTCCTCAGCGCAATCATACACCGACAGGATCACATGGTCAGGGGGATCAAGAAATTGACGGATAATCTGAAGGACGAGGAGGACATGGGAGGGGATCGAGACGAATGGATCTACGCTGCGCATGTGCTTGATAGATTACTGCTGTACACATTTATTCTGACACTGCTTTCCTCAACGCTTTTTATATTTACGATGGTTCCTTCGTATGACTAAAAGCCAGGAAAGGGGGATGCATTGGACAAGAACCAAGTCCGAAAAAGTGACAGTGGCGAAATTTCATGATAAGAATGCTTATCTATATTGCAAGCTGTATACACCTACTTGCGAAAACTTTGTCATAAAAAATAGGACATTTGCATTTTAGTAAAAAGGAATAAATTGAAAAGAAAAAAGAAGATCACTGAACGGCTGAACGCTTTCTTTTGTCTTGTTTTAATTTATTCCTTTTTACTAAATTCAAATGTTCTATTTTCTATGACAACGTTTCTGCAAGTAGGTGTATACAAATGATTGAAATGTGGTAGGGTCGCAAAAAGATGATATCATTGAAGCTAACACCGAAATTATATTTGGGCTGTTTCATGCTATGTATAAAGCTAAAAGTACTTTAATTTCCTTTGATTTACTAATTTCATATTCAGTGTAAGCAGGAAGTACACGACGTTTCTTGTACTCTTCAAAACCGGCTGAACTTGAATTGAATGATCACGTGACATTTGCTGGCGTCATACTTCWCATTAAAGTCATTATTATTGACAGTATTATGAATGTTTAAAAGCAATATATTATGATAATTACAGTTAYATACAAAGGAACGTGTGCCGCTCTTTATAATCTTGCTCTTGTTCTCAAATTCAAAAGACATAATGTAATGAAGATTACGGCTATTGTACGTCAGCGCAAATCATAATAGTTAAACCCCTTAAATATTATTAGCTATATGCAGCATTAACATACTGGGCTGTTAAGGCAAACTGAGTGTAGCCAACAAGAACTTTTTCTGGCTTAGGAATACCAACAGGGAAGTATTTCTCAAGACTTGTTGTGCGACGTTTCTACTTTTCTTACCTTTTAAAAAACACGTCCAAAAAGGTATGATTTGTATAAACTTATGCGAATACATTTGATCACCTGTGTGGCTAATACTTTGTAAATTAAATAACAGCTTAATTCAATCAATATGTCCATAAAGTTAGTCCAGGAAATCGAGTGCCAGACAATGTCATCTTTACAGATGTATTATCAAAGACTACGTCTCTCCATTTTCAGATATAATTTGGGACTTGGGATAAATTTATCCAGAATATSTTTACTAGTGAACAAACCTAAGTTACTGTCAGATTGGAAGGCAAAGACATATGCTAAATGTTTTTTTTAGCGTGTACTTTCAATTTAAACTGTTATTTACCTATCAAAAAAAAACAACAGTGACGGCTTATGTGTAATTATATTTATTTTCTTTTACGATTTGACAGTACCAAAAAATGGCTTTTCAGCATCGCATTAAAGCTCGAAATGCAGCTGAAGACGCCAAGTTCAACAGAGTTTCTGAACTATTTGACAAGCGTAAAAACAACGTTGCGAAAGAYCTGCTAGATATTCAAGCAACAAGAAGACTCTTCGAGGCAAGCAAAAAGACAGCTAACGAATCCAAACAGAGGTCTCGAACAAAAAGCTTAGATGAAATGCATCAATGGACAGTGAGCTCCAAAAATACTGAAGAAAAATTACCGAAATTGTCAGATAGTAAGAAAATGACAAGAAGAATTTCCTTGCCGAGTAACCATAAGTTTGGTATGTCAAGAAATGATGATACTAGTAGCAAATTTGTTCAAAAATTGGAAGGCATTCAGGAACGGGACAAAGACTCACTCAAACTACCAGTGATAAAATCAAAATCAACTTTAGATTTGAGCAATACCAAGGACTTTTCCCCGAGTGGTAAAGTTAGATCAATGGAATCTCTTAGAGCTAATTGCCCGGTAGCTAAATCCCCGGTAGCAAATTCCCCGGGATCTAATTCCCCGGGAGCTATTTCCCGGAGAGCTAAATCCCCGATGGCTAAATCTCCGGGATCTAATTCCCCGGGAGCTATTTCCCCGAAAGCTAAATCCCCTGTAACAAGTAAGAAGCAGAGGCGCCACAGTGCTGATGTTAACGACAATCTTCCACCAACACCACAAATTGTCTGCCATGACGCTAATGGGAATGAAACTTGTTGCAAAGCGATTCAAAAGCAAAGGAGAGAAAGGGCGCTAGTTGAACTAGAGCGTCTTTCAAGGTCTACAAATGAGCTTGATCAACTTATGGCGGGAAAATTTAAAAGGATTGGTGAGGGATCCCTGGGTGAGTCGTACTTACGAAGCAAACGAGTCCAGTCCTATGAAAGTGGAATTGATATGAAAGAAGGTAAGTTGGGATCCCTGTGGATCATGCGCACTTCAAAGAATCGAATATTCAGCTTACTTTTCTTAATAACAGATGAACAAGATTCATCCCGTGACGTCACACAACGCCGCCAACTAGACCACATGGGAAATAGGCTAAATATCCCTCTATCAGCGACGAAACGAACAGACTCCAACAGATCAACAGAGTCAATTTACAGGCAAGAAACACTACGATCAAAAAGCTGCACTGCATTGGACGGAATTGATTAGACTTAAAGCAAAATTAAAAAGGAAATAGTCACTTGTTGTTGTTATGTTATTTATATTGCTWTCGTACAATGATATTTTGAATATTTAGTAGCAGGAGCAATGCGCCATTAGGTCATCAACCAAACTAGCTTCGTGCGACTCAGTATTKAAAAGCACTTTCGTGCGTGCCGTGACTGTACCCTAGTATAGTTCTAATCTTCCCACATTTCAATTTTATCAATGGCGTCACTACCAGGGGGGTTCCACCCCGTACCATGTCACAGTCTTATGCAACACGCTCTATAGTAGCCTCCCCCACAGACGTCTATATTTTCCTTTCCGCTCTTCTCTTCACTCTTTGTAAGGGTCACACTTGGCCGAGAGAACACCAAAGGGATCCCAAGGGTGCAAAATGAGCTATTGCCTGAGAAGGAACCTAGCCCTGTAGTACGAGCAATATCTGATAAGATCGCATGTCTGAATTGGGCCTTGTATACGAATTATGCTGGGAGGCGTATCTCAAGTGAGTTAAGGCCTGGGTCAGCATATGCAAATTAGATAAAAGTGGTTTAATTTTATATCTCAGTTAATTCTCAAACGATTTCGATAAAACTTTGCAGGTTTGTAGTTTTGAACGACTTTAACATTTTAAGACTGTTAAAATCTCTATCGGCAGGTCACATGACATGTCATGTGACATTTCCATGGAAAGAAATTCAATTGAAAATGGGGTAACCAGAACATACATTGAAAATGTCGGTTTTAGGTTAATATTATCTCTTAGTAGGTTGTCTTCAAGTCTTGTCCTAGAATGGTTGTCCATCACTTGCCGTTAAGGAGATATTTGGTGAAATAGGTCACGTGACCTAAATTCACTTCTGAAAATCTGCTGTTTTCTCCTTATTTTATTTAGAAAGTCATCCATTCTAGGACAGGTCTTGTTGGTTTAGGTCTACTAAATACTTTGAAATCAAAAAAACTTTCATTAAAGTACATTCTCATTACCCCATTTTGAAATTACTGTTTTTTCGTCTTTTGGGTCACGTGACCTCCATATTTGGACAAAACATATTTAAAAATTCCAAGGATCATGATTCTCTTCATGACACCAAAGCTTATTCCTCTACAGTAAATGTTAGTTAAAATATAACGTTTTTAATTTTTTTGATATCGCCTAAAATCCCAGGCCTTAACTCACTTGAGATTGACATTTGGCTTTTACCGAGACAGTCTTATTTGAACGAGTGCAGCCTGCCAGCTGTTATAAAATAAWGAGAATTCTATTTCGCCTCAAACAATAATGAAACATATATTTCGTCTCAATCTTTTGATCTACATGCGTTGCCATCACAGAAAAGCAAACGAACAAGAAAACCTGAAGTACTAAGTCAACGGATGAGGAAACGGAAACGTCGACCGAAACGACAATCAGTTTATTGAGAATTGATTTACAGATCTAAAACTGTCATGATTTCGAATGATTGGATTTGCTGTACGAAGAAAGAAGAACAAAAAATCGATTAACTTGTATTTGCAAGTGGAGTTATAAATGAACAAATGAAACGGAATGGATGGTTGGATGGATGGATGGATGGTTGGATGGATGGATGGATGGATGGATGGATGGATGGATGGATGGATGGATGGATGGATGGATGGATGGATGGATGGATGGATGGATGGATTAAAGAATGAACTTATAGATGGACGGAGGAATATATAGATATGTAGTAGGATGAATCAATAAATTACTGGATGGATGGGAAATGGATGAAAGACTGATAAATGAATAAAAAGTTGGCGAATTAAAAGAWAAATAAGTAAATYAATGAATGAATGAAACGATAAACACTATAAAATTCTAAGTAGTACGTATATATATGAGAAGCTTATTCCAATCTCATTAATTATATCATCATAGCAAAAAGATTTCTGTCAGCCTAAAGAACCCATCACTAATGTGTTTTTAATAGTATTTACCGTAATTATTCATAATTTTTTGTCTAGAAGAATATAAGACATCTACTTCCTGCCTGATCCAATTCACACYTAGGTTTGAATCAAAATTAATGAAGATATGATATTAATGAAAAAACACTGCGTTTTTAAAAAGAGAGGTCAAGTTTTGAGAGGATCAATAAAATAAAATTTGTTATTTTGTTTTTATATTGCTGTCTGTTCTCAAAGAAATGAAAACAAGACCAAAACGTTTTTACGAAAATGCACCGAGTGTGGGTGATGCCGCCCTTAGAGCCAAATAGTTACGACTTGAAATTCATCTTTGTAAAGGTTGAAAAACACATCAGAAAGATCATTTTAATAAATTATTTCAACAAGTTCATTCAATTGATACGTATGTTTAATAAAACTGTGTATTATAATCATTTTCTTTCAAATAAGTATATGTACATACCAAAAACGCGCGAATTGRCATGAACGCAAAGTTATGAAGAATAATGTTTACTTGATTGGATTTGAGTGAAGTTTCTCATCCTTTTTCTTTCATTATCACCAACTTGTAATAAAACTTAAACAAACATATGTCTAAAATCCAAGAAGTTAATACTTGAGACAAAATTACAGAAAAAATCGTGAATACAAATTGCTGAAATTTACTATACCTTATATAAAACTATAATATAAAGCGAAGTAAATGGAACCAATTTAATGAATCAAATTGYCAGATATTTTAAGTTTTTAATATTTTGTTATAGTTATAGTTCTATTATGTAATATTTCAGAATATTGACATCATGCAAATCATGCGCGCTCCCGCGTCCATTGCTTCCTTTAATTAATTTTCTAGATTTAGATATAAAGCATATCGGCCGTAATTTCGATTAATGACTGATGTACGTGCTTAGATTAACGCGAATGCATCAAGCATTAATTCATCGAGACAMATCAACGAAAAACGCCCTTTGTCAACATTATAATTACGTTAAGATACGACGTACATTTAGCTTCAATCATTTCAGATAAGGAAGGTATTGCTTTACTTGTTATTAGACGAACAGCAAATATAAAAGCAAGTTGTTGTTWCGTTCTGCATTTAAGAGGATTAAACTCAACGAGTGCTTCAAGGATTTGTTGGCTATATTTTTAACAGATCTCTTGTCTGTGAGGATCTATTGCATGATCAAATCAAGACGCAAGTGATCACTAGCTCATTATTTTCTCAGTTATCCTGCACGTCACCACACACTGACATAGTATTGTTCCTGATTCTCTGGACCAACACTGAACAAAGTACTAATACATCTGTAAGTTCCTTTCGTGTTTAACGCAAGCTGAAAAGAGTTCTACATTCAACGCGAAGAAAGAACAAAACTAGGCATTGGGTCATTACCACCAAACACTCAGGTTTAATGTTTTACCAAATGGTTACTAACTTTAAYTTCTCCTGATTTTATCAATTGMTAAAGCAAGACTAAGGCGAAAGACTTTTCAACATCCTCGAGGCTTCACMAGCTGATTCCATCGCGAGCTCCTATTTTCTGTTTTCCATACACGATAGTGACGGATTAAGGCCAATTTYTTTTGGATATTATAACAAGAAYTGAAATTTCCGTAGCTATTTCCTARCTTCCCTTTAGCGCCAGTCGATTACTTGAACTAAGATCACGGAAGTAGTTTAAAACCAATTRTTATCTCACGCAYAAAAAKSACAGAGAAAAGACCCAGTAWTATRCATTGAATATTCTACAATCACTTGGTMGTTATTGMACGGGTACTTCTTGGKCTCGTCGAAGATCTTCAAAAATATTGTATATTCATATTACATACTWTATTGTACGCTTAGGAAAAAATAATCCGATATTACAAGGTCTTAATACAAGAACCGCGCTTAGYCCTGACGACTCTTGTTGCRTTTAGTCGTTATKGTTGCGTATRGTTGCGTATRGTTGCGTATGGTTGCGTATCGTTATTGTCAACTTTAATTCATTCCACGTCAAAGCAGCTGAAGAAACTAAACTTTCTACTATCGACATAGTTCTACAATGTGATATCGAAGAATTGGKCAAGCTGCCTGAAACTTAAGACGAGAATTTGAAGAAAAGAAGTGAAAATCTATTCTCTTATTACAGATTCACTGCTATACACCTTCTAGTGAAAGAAAATCCTTCTAAGTTGTCAGGGAAGGCTTTGTGAAGCCTATTAAAGCACTGGACGAAAACCCCTGCGATTRTTCATTAGATAGTCACATTGCTCATCAAAATATAAGACGTAAAAACAAGCGGAAAATTAGATCGACAAGACTGATAACAGCGTCACCACTATCGTTACAGCCATTAGGTCGATAACAGAGACAAAAAAAGAAGGAAATGCAATTGGCTTGAGGTGTTTTTACCTTAACCGCAAATTGCTTTAAACGATCAATACCCTAAAACTGATAAAGTTTAAAAAAGATGGGCGAGTTTGAGGATCGTTCTGCTATACGGAATTCTTGGATGTCCATTGCCATGATCTTCAGTATCATTGGGAATGTTCTTTTGATTATTGTAATAACGAGAAATGGTCGCTTCCATAATGTCACCAATGCATACAACCTTAGCCTGTCATTGAGCGACCTGATCAAGGTCTTTTCTTTCATACCGATTTATCTAGTATATGCTGATTTGAGGACTTGGCCGTTTGGCGTGGAGGGATGTCAGATTTTTAGCTTGATTTTCTACACATCGTTTGGCGTCTCGGGGTTGATTCTGATGTGTTTGAGTTATGAACGATACCATCTCATCGTACTGCCGTCAAAGAAACAGGTACAGTTTTTATATATTTGTGTATTATTTATAGACATGAATATCGCATGGCCGGAATTCAGTGAAAATTACTCCAGAATTTTGATCCTGTATTGAATTRGGCGCATATGMWAGCTTTTCTTGTCGATCATTATGTTAAAGTTGCGTGTTGCATCAGTTCAAGTTATATTTCCCATTCTCTATAGTTTGATGTTGTATTTCATTATTCGATTGTTTATGTCATTCGTACATTGATTAATTATTAGTCAATTTTCCGATTGTTTATTCCATTGTCAGATTTTTTATTCTTTTTTTTACAGATTTTTTATTCTATTGTTTGACTTTATTGTTTAATCGTTTATTCTATTGTTTGATTGTTTATTCTATTGTCTGACTTTCTATTTATTGTTTGGTAGATTAATTATTTCGATTTGTTCTTCTTTTAATTTGTCTTGTTTATTTTGTGTGCGCTAAGTTCAATCGAACGTTTGATCGTCTTTTTCTTTTTTCGTTCTTTTTTTCCAAATCATGTCAATTTTACGGAAAACCGTTTCCAAACACTTACTCCAGCTACGCCATAAATTACGATATGATCAAGATAATGTCACATCTACTGATGGCTATCTAATTGCTTGAGTTACTGAACTAACATGACTAACAACAAACGCCACTCACACTACACCTTGCGATCGACTTAAACTGACATCTTTCAACAAAAGGCCAATTAAAAAAGCGAAAACTCCCTCTACAGCGAAAACCTTTGTACTGGGAAGTTTGAAAGTTGTATTGCCGGGGTCTAGAAACTCTTTAATTCGCATTTCTAAATTTCGCATTGCAAGAATTTACACCGTAATCACCAATTCTATTGATTCGCTTTCTTTCTTACGTTGCTATTCAATGTACGTGCTGAGAAGTAAGAGAAAACAGCAGCTGTTCGGAGTTAAAGGCTCTGTCATATAACGTCATTGAAACTCTTGAAAACCCCGACACCGATGAGATTAAASGAAAGTAAAAAGCTGATGTTTCAGATTTTTTAGCCCATATATATTCCATTGTCATAAACTACAGCCCACTTTTATACAGGATTATCATAAGAGAACTTTCGCATCAATTTTATGATTGTTTATKAATATTTTCTGATCCCTTGGGGGAAAATACACAGGACTCTTAGAATACATGGGCGTATCAAGGTTTCGTCATTGCGTTATCCTTYCATACAAACTATTACTATGACGTCACGCTAATATGACGTCATACACGTACATTGTTTTTAAAAACGCAAAAGTGGCACGAAGAAACGTAATTCTAACTGYTTCATCTAAAAGTCTAGAAAAAATTAGACTTCTATTTTTGCAATGTTTTTGAACTAAGTTTGGCGGCTTTGAAATGAAAACCACAGGTATCCCGCGCATAATACCTTTATTAGGCCCACTCTGAGGACCTCAATGACCTCAATGTTGTGAAAGCAACAGGCATGGATTACATAGTTTAAGATGAAAGATTGAAGCAAAAGCAAAGGGTCTACTGCATTGCAAAGAAAGAAGTCTTACCCAGTACTAATGCAATAGGAAAAATAGTTCTACATTCCTGTAGTATGACTCATAGAGACTAAAATAAGTCACTAATGATTAGTTTTGAATTTACCTCAAAGTTTTCCCGCTGTTTATCTGAGCTCTAGGCTGAAGAAAATGAACAACTTACCATCCGCCATCTTGAATTCAGTTGATAATAATAAACAGGAGTCCCAACTGCAAGGAAACTGCACGTTCAACACAGGAAGCCCACTTTAAGATGCTCTTTGTTTTCTGAGTATTTTATTTGCTTTCTTGTGTTTCTACCTGTTCAGTATATATCTTTTAAATCGCATATTTGTTCTCTGAAAAATCCATATTGCACAATGATTGTAAGGTCCATGCATTAAAAGGCCCAGAGCGCAGAACCCAGGGTAGAAAATATCTTGAACATGGCATCAGAGTACTAAGCAAACCATAGTTTGTAGCTYAGAAATGGTTAGGAAGCCTTTTGTTGTAGGTTTTTGTGCACTTTTTGTGACGAAATGCCTTATGGGGCCATCGTATTGAGTGACCGAACCGCAACCATCCATTTGTAACAGGCGTTCCTTGCGAGTCCTTGATTTGTTTAACTTGAAAAGAGAAAATCTCTAGAGAGAGAGAAAACAAACAAACAAAACAAAACAAAAAAAAACGAAGTAACAACAGCAATGAAAAGAAGAAAAGAAAAAGAGAAAGAAGAAAAGAAAACGAAACAATAAACATGCGAAAAAAAGAGAAATTCCAGAAGCAGGACTCGAACTCAGAACTTTCACTTCAGTTGAAGACGTACCCCCCCTGAATACATAAAAAATAATGAAAATAAAAATCTAAAAATTTGGGACGATTCCCCCGAGACATTCTATGAAGCTGAGGCGGCGAATCGGCTTACGTTACGGTTAGAGATTTCGGCCCTTCCACGCTATCCCGAGTGAACATAAAACTTAGTCTTAACCAAAAGGCCAGGGAGTGAGGGGGTAGCCGCCCACTAGAGCATACCTTTAGCTACCCTCTTAGACCATCGTACTATGAAGACACTTATATATCTAATATCTAATTGGGGTAGTCTATTCGGTGAAGTTCTATGCTAATATATGACGTCAKCAAAATCCTTAGGGATCAGCGAGCCAATCAGAGATCAGCTCGGGAATTAGCATACGATACAGGCTTTGCATAATCATTCCTCAGTGGATTTATTATTTGATGGGGGTGGGGATGGGTGCTGAGTGCTGGTTTGCGGTCGAATACCGCTGTTCCATGTAATGTGACGGCTTTCGCCAAGGTGTTCAATTGTCGTTACTGTTTTCCAAATCATCATCAGGAAAATTAGTCGTACAGTTCTTATATCAGACAGACATTATTAGTATTTGGATAAACACCACGGCACAAATCTCTTGAAATCTTAATGTAAGCGGTTTACAAACCAGGCAGCTTTTTGCTGGAATGGCAACGGAACACAATAAAAGACCTCTTGAACGTTCCATGCACATTTRTATAAATATAGTGAATATAATGTTGACAATTGAAGAGGATGAACGATAATCTGTATAAAATTGATAAAGAAATCAAGGAAAACTTAGCAAGCTTTCGGTTTTATTACAAAACTATAATCATGCGAATCTGATAGTAATTTTAAAACATGAATGTAAAAATACAGTTTAGATAATAAAAACATTTTATCGAACGTTCGAGAATTAATCATGACTTTTAGAAAGGTGTCTTTGATGACAGCTAAATTAAAACTCTAAGGACCGCTCCATGTCGTGGATAAAAATCCCTTTCCGAATCTTTCAGATGGATATGTTTACTGTAGGCAGGGAAACAGRTAGGGCGCTCCGCGTCAGGCCCCARGGGAGGAATGATCAACCYTCACAATAGGTTCCTTGGCCCCTGGGAATCGKCGCCTGTTGCGTATTTATAGGTAACGTAATAGGTTGATCGCCACGTGATGCTTCCAGTTCCTTGCACCGTGCAGATAATTAAGAAAGTGTTGAATACTGAGGATGTGTGCCATACTGGTCTCATTTGAATGAACAGAGCGAAAATTATTTTTTGACTATGGCTTCAAAATGCACAAAACTTTTTAACCAATATTGGAATGTTGCATTTCATAATCTCATAGAAAGTGTTTATGTTCACTTATTTTGCAATTTCAATCGTTTTCAAAGTTGTGCACGGTCTTGACTGATTCAACCTCAAAATACGTACAAAAGAAGTACAACAAAAGTTAATTTCCAAACCTTTCCCCTCTATTAACTATAAGCAAACTGACTATTGAGTATTTGAAAATTGTTTGAAAAACTTTGATTATATTGTTTCAGATGACTGTGCGTCAAGCCGTCTATCTCATAATGGCTGCCTGCGTGTTCTCATTTCTTATAAGCTGCTTYTTGATTCCATTCCTCCAAATAATCCCAACCCAATACGGCCAAAGATGTACCATAAAAGCCTCCAAAGACTGGCACCTAGTGATAGTCATCACCATGACGATACTATCACAAGTCGTTCCTGGAATGTTCTTCCTGGTCATCCACGCTTTAACCGTGAGGAAACTAAGGCGAGACGCACAGGAAGTTGAGGTTAGGAACCAGTCCCTGGCGGCTAGGAATCGATTCAGGAGAAATTCRCGTGCGATCAGGATTCTTGTTATAGAGGCAGTTTCCTGGGTTATTTGTCTTATCCCCTTCCTGGTYTTCACTTTTGTCCAGGTAGAAAAGACAGGTGAATCTGTGAAGCCTTTTTCATGGGAGTTTCTCATTACAAACTGTACGTTGGTCGCACAAACTGTTGTGAATCCTGCACTGCATTTTATTCTCATTAAAGAGTTCAGAAATGAACTTCGTATCATGTGGAATTCGATCTTAAAGAAACTACAAGTCAACCAGGTGGAGCCGAATCGAAATACTGAAAATGAAGTCACGGAATTTGCAGGGTAATTTATA